CGAATTACAGTACCTGATAAATTTCCAATCCCAGTCATAGAAGAGTTGCTGGATGAACTGAACAGTGCACAGATTTTTTCTAAGCTTGATCTGAAATCAGGCTATCATCAAATCAGAATGAGAGAAGAGGATATCCATAAAACAGCTATAAGAACTCATGAGGGTCATTATGAGTACCTAGTCATGCCATTTGGACTTACTAATGCACCCTCCACTTTTCAGGCTTTAATGAATAAAGTCCTAAAACCCTACCTCAGAAAATTTGTACTGGTTTTCTTTGACGACATCTTGATATATACTATATAGCAAAACAGAAGAAGAGCATTGGGAGCATTTGAAAAGGGTGTTACAATTGCTAAAAGAAAACCAGTTAGTGGTGAATGAAAAAAAGTGTTCCTTTGGGCAGAAGCAGTTGGCTTATTTGGGACACATTATATCTAAAGAAGGAGTTGCAGCAGATCCTAGTAAAATAGCAGACAAGTTGGACTGGAAGTACCCAACTGATGCTAAGGGGTTAAGAGAATTCTTGGGGCTTACAGGATACTATAGAAAATTTGTCAAATGCTATAGTAGAATAGCATCTCCTCTAAATGATCTTCTTAAAAAAGATGGTTTAAGTGGAATTCAGAAGCACAGAAAGCTTTTGATGAACTGAAACAAAGAATGACTCAGTTACCTGTGTTGAAGGTGCCAGACTTCAACTAAACTTTTGTAATTGAGTCTGGTGCATCAGGAAAAGGAGTGGCTATATGAGTAGAACCCTGTCCAACAGAAATCAAAATAAATCTGTTTATGAAAGGGAACTCATGGCTATTGTATTAGCTATACAAAAATGGAGACCATATCTGCTAGGAAGAAGATTTGAAGTTCATACAGACCAAAAGAGTTTGAGATTCCTGACAGAGCAGAGAATTTTGGGGGAAGATCAATAGAAATGGCTAACAAAGTTGTTGGGGTTCAACTTTGTCATCGAATACAAACCTAGAGTAGAAAACAAAGTTGCACATGCATTATCTGGAAAGGGTCATTTCTATTCTTTATCTGTTGTCACTTGCCAAGAGTGGGAAGGATTAGAAAATGAACTGATGGAAGATGAGAAGTACAAAAACATGTTGCAGAGACTGGACAGAACCAGATTCTATTCCTCATTTTAAGATCAGACAAGGGCTTCTTTATTTCAAGGGAAGACTGGTGATTCCTAAAAATTCTGTGAGGATTAATACTATTCTCAAAGAATTACATGAGTCTGCTATAGGGAGGCATGCTGGAAACTTTAAAACCATGAAGAGGATATCTACTATATTCTACTGGGAGGGAATGAGGACAGATATAAAACAGTATGTACAGCAATGTGATGTGTGCCAAAGAAATAAATATCAGACTTTAAGCCCAGCGGGATTACTGCAACCTTTTACCCATTCCTAAGCAGATCTGGACTGATCTTAGCATGGATTTCATTGGGGGATTGCCAAAAGCTCAAGGGAAAGACACAATTTTAGTTGTGGTGGACAGATTGACAAAATTTGCATATTTTATAGCATTAACTCATCCCTACAATGCTAAAGGTGTGGCAGAAGTGTTCATTAAGGAGGTTGTTAAACTACATGGCTTTCCTAAAACAATAGTTTCAGATAAGGACAGTGTGTTCCTAAGTGCTTTTTGGACTGAATTGTTTAAGCTAGCTGGAACAAAGCTGAAATATAGTACAGCATATCATCCCCAAACAGATGGGCAGACTGAGGTAGTTAACATATGTATAGAAACTTATCTCAGATGCATGACTGGGAAGAAACCAAAGCAATGGCCTCAGTGGCTACCTTGGGCTAAGTTCTGGTACAACACAAACTATCATGTGTCTACTAAGAACACCCTTATAAAGCACTGTATGGGCAGGGTCCACCTGTACTGATCAGAGGAGATGTCACTCTTACAGCAGTGGAAGAGGTGAATAGAATGACAGCTGAGAGGCATGAAATGATAGATGAATTGAAGAGTAATTTGGCCATTGCACAAAATCAGATGAAGCAACAAGCTGATAAGAAAAGAAGGGAGGTTCAGCTTGTGGTTGGGGATTGGGTGTACTTGAAGATTCAACCCTACAAACTCAAAACTCTAGCCAGAAGGATGAATCAAAAGCTGAGCCCTAGATTCTATGGGCCTTTTGAAGTAATTGAGCAAATCAATTCTGTAGCATACAAATTGAAACTGCCTGAAGATTGTAAAGTGCATCCTGTCCCTGTGTTTCATTTGTCCCTTTTGAAGAAAGCAGTACCTACTTCTACTCAAATACAACCACTACCTAAGTGCCTAACAGAAGAATGGGAGTTGCAAGTAAAGCCAGAGAATGTGAGGGATAGCAGAATCAACTCAGCAGGGAAAACTGAAGTGTTGGTGCACTGGAAAAATATGCCAGAGTTTGAAGATTCTTGGGTGGAACTGCAGCAACTTCAGAGGCAATTTCCTGACATCCACCTTGAGGGCAAGGTGGTAGTTTCAGGGGGAAGTGATGATAGAGACACTGGGAGTCAGCCCATTACTAATAATAGTGTTAACTATTATAACCAAGTATATTCTAGAAGAAGTAAGGGGAATATTAAATAGCTATGAACTGTATAAAGGGCTGGGTGAACTACTATAAATACGTAGCTATTGTAATAAGGAGTAGGATGGTATTGTTTCAGTTGGGCTGGGACTTGGAGAGTGGCTCTCTTTAAACTGCCGGATATTTTCTCTCTCATTTCTGTTAATAACTACCTTCCTGAGACTGTTCATACATTTCGTTCCCAGTCTATTGCTTGAATTACTGTGTTCGTAGCTGATTACCTATCATTGGTATCAGCTGGCTTTGCTGCTGCATCTTCACCATCCTTTCCTGGGCCATCTCAACAGGATTCAAATTGTGGTTTGGTTTTGTAAGGAATTGAAGGTAAGAGAGAGAAGCCCAGATCCAGATTGAGGCTTCAAATGGATGTTATGGTTCTATGAGGGAGATGGTGGTAAGACGGGGATGGGGAAGAACGAAGGTGATACACAAAGGGGTAGAGGGGGTGAGGAAGAAGACACTGACTGAGAGTGTAATACAGAGGAGGCAGGGTTGGGGAGGAAATAACAGGCTGGGAAATTATTAGAAGGGTAAAATTGTAATTGCACATTTGCACCTAATATTTTTTGCTAAAAAGGGAAATGTGACTATCAATTTGGGACAGCCCAAAATGGAAATATGGGATTACCAAATTGGGACGGAGGTAGTAATAAATTCTAAGTCCCATAAAAATTGATGTCTTTATGAATCAACATCATTACCCCAGTGCTGCAAAGGCTCCCACCTACGGTGGAGTAACAGGGGTCGGACGTACACAGTCTTACCCCTGTACTAAAGCAGGGAGAGACTGTTTCCGGATGACCCATAGTGAACATCGCGTCCAAAAGGGCATGGACTGACCGCTGCTTCATAACAAAAATTGATGTCATTATGAATGTTTAACAAAAATCGCCGATCCACAAACTCAACAACATTTGTTTTTTTCTTACCAAAAATGTCCATTCAACAATTATTGAAGACAAACTATCTATATCATTAATGCTGGCATTTAGACGCATAGAATTGGAAATTTGTGTTTCTTAATAGGCTAAAAAATCTCCAAAATATGGGTATTCTGTCAAAGAGAGTGATGTTTATTTGGACGGAGAAGGAACATCAAATCCACTATTGCACCTGGCCTTCGATATTTTATGTAAAATGAAATTTTGTATACTTATATCTCAGCCTGATCTAAAAGCACAAAGGAATGATACACCCAACAACTATCCGCACCCAAATATCAATCACAATTCCATAGATACAAAAAAACAAATTATTGTACAAATATACTCCCTCCGTCCCAAAAACAACTTCCCAGTTTGATCTAGACACATATTTATTCAACATAGAATTTAATTTGAATTTCTAACTATACACCTACATTATGTCAAAATCAAGGTTTGAAATTGCATATTGCATAGTCGTGGCGTTTTTTTAATATTGCATATTTCGTAAACCTCACTGCGCAATGAGGTGTATGCCTGAGGTGTAATACACAGACACACACACACACATAAAAACATAATAAAAAATAAACATATTCATCAAAAGTCATCAAATACTATATTAAAACAAACCATAAGAGGCCATAATCCTAGCAAAGTAATATGCTCAAACTTCAAAGTACCATAGAATATCAAAACTTTCTGAATCGTTTATAAAAAAAATTAGATATGAAAGTTTAAAATTAAAAGATTGATTGACTAAAATATCCAATCAATAACTAGGGGTTTGAAATAGGGATCATAACATCAATTATAATAATTTAAAAGTGGGCCGAGTGGGCCCAAATAATACTCTTACACCCTGACCTCCTATAGTGTGCGCCTCAGAGCGCCTTATTGCGTGTGCAATATGGGTCATACTCCTCTCCATTTCCTTCTCTCCATTTACTCTCTCCATTTCTTTTTCACTCTATCTCTCTCCTTAAATAATAATTAAACACAATATTTTCTTTTTCTCTACCCCACCATTTCCACACCTCTCTCTATCTCTCTCCTACTGGACCATTCCAGTTAATGGAGAGGAGCAAAGTACGCCTCAGTGCAATATTGTGTACGCCACACTCCCAGCGCCATATGCAATGCCTTTTACGCCATGGTCTAGGAATTACCTGAGGCACGCCATGAGGCGCAATTGCATTGTGCAATTACAAACAATGTGTCAAATCAAGTAAAAAGTAAAAAGTAAAGGTAGTTGAGACATTTGCTATTGAAAATTTTCTTTTATGGGAAATAGGAAGCTTATTTTGGGATATCCAAATGAGGAAAATGGGGAGTTGTTTTTAAAGCAGAGGTAGTACAATAAAATTCTACATATATAAGAAAATGTGAATGAAAATATTGACATTCAGTTTTATAGGGGGAAAAGCTAAGAAAACAGTGTTCCAAAAACAATGTTCATGAAGCCATAAAGGTACCTGCACAAGCTGGTTGTAGATGGCATCGTGGCAAAACAAAGTCTGCACTTGAGAATTAAAACCTTCTATCTCAGTTTCTTCCAGTTCATCCTCAAGGTTCATTGCCAAAACTCTGGTCTCACTAATAAAGCTCACAACCAAAAATGTATCATATGCATCATCTGTAGCAGATCTAAGTGACCACATTCCCTTGATACCTTGAAGTTCTACAGATGCCTACAAGTCAGAACACATGATCAGCATGGAGAAGAATAGGAAAATACATTGGCAACTTCATTTGAAGGAATAGACCTGTTCATTAATCCCAATTCCATTCCGAACCACGCGAAGAGAACCATCTTTAAATGCACCTGAGCAAGTTACAACTTGACCCTGACCTTGCCTCTCAATGTCGACCACGCAGAAATCCACAATTGGTCCCAAATTGACATATCTTTCTAACACTTCTACATACGACCCTTTTGCATCAGGCTGGAAATTAAGCTTTATAAGCTGCGTATTTGAGAAAAGGAACCATCAATCCAATGCCAAAACACTTGAATTCAAAATTGAATAAAATAGATAAGAAAGTGAAGACACATAATGTTAACAGATGATTGCCAGAATATTTGAAAATGCACACATCAAATCCAAAATACTTGATATGCACACATATCAAATCCAAGAAATGATAAATCACAAATATATTACATAGAATCTCAAACGTCGTGAAATTTATACTTACTAAATTACCAATAAAAGGGCACGAGCGTCTTAAACAAAAGAAACAAATAATTTAAGTAACTTACCTATAAACATTAAAAATAAAAAAGTTCAAGCTCTTGAATTAGCTGTCATCAATATTTCATTATAACAAAATCATGATTGTTAGGATGCCTTGAACTACCTTAACATGGAGATGTACGGTGTAGGTTATGTTTGATCTTGGTTTCTGTTTTGACTTTTGAGATATTTTAGTAGGTTTTGTCCCCCACGGGTTTGGATGGTGTAGTGAGGTCATTTTTTACTCAAAAAACATCTAGAAGTAAAAAATACTCCCAAATCCCCTCAAAACTAGCACTAAAGTAGTCTCGTAAATTACATAGTGGTGCTATAGCGCCCACTACAGCCGCTATTCTTCCCACTATAGCGCCCGCTGCTGGCGCTATTGCCAACCGCTCCGCTATAGGCTGTCTGATAGCATCTAGCCCCTGCTCCGTCTGCTATAGCGCTGCTATAGGGCGCTATTGACATCACTGGTATCAGCTGCTTACATGAAAATGCATTCTCAAAACTCATTACAAAAAATAGCACCACTTTAATATATCAAGCAAATCAGGTCCTAATGTTTTCTCCATTTGTTTCTTATATCATTAGGTTGGTGGTGGCCCTGGGCCCCTGGCCACTATCCAGTCACAAGTCACAGTTCTAAAGAGTTATTTACTGTTTTCAAATTCATCAGTAAGCATCTCATACCTAATTTAATTTGAAGTTTAAACATATAGCACAATATGTATTGCCAAGAGAGATTGACGAATAACTGAAGGAGATAATGCTGTCCTCAGTTCCTCACAGCATGAATGGTTAAGAGCATGAAACACCCTTCTTAAAAAGATACATGTCGACCACCATTCACCATTCTTAAAGAAAATACCTGTGAATCTCCATAGCTAGAACCAACATAAACAACAGCATTATCCAGGTAAGAAATTGTTGATGCAATTGAAGTTTCTCCCAAAAGCTCACTTTTGAGTCCAGTAACTCTACAGATCAAAAAATAGAATCTCATTAAGCAACTTTAGAAATATATTTTTCACTCTTATTTAAGTGAAGGTACAGATGAGCGTCCAATAGAAAGCTACTAACTTTTCCTTTTCATGAGTTATAACAAGTAGATGAAGAAGTCCACTATGGTCTCCAAGTATATAACGAGAACCGTCAGCATCTACCCTTCCATATGCTCTTGTAATGGACTAGAAAAAATTTAAAGAAAAGAAAAATAATATGAATCATTAAGAAATCTAATATTGCTATAAGGTATTTCTGATGTTGAGCAACACACAGGAAGAGAGAGTTCCAATTTATGAAACTTACAGGTCTAATGGGTATTGCTTTAAAAGCTGCGGCACTGCAATATACAATGGTTTCTTCCCCGATAATAAGCACACCACAAAGGGGTGATGGCACAGGTATGAGCAAATCAGCTCCATTATCAAGGTTATTCTGAGACCATGGACCCTCAATGAAATCTTTATCTTTCAAAGAGACTTCATATGTTTTGACATGACGGGCATCTTTATTATCCTGTCAATCAAGCTAAATAATATAAGAATTTTACATGAAGTTCTGGTAGATGCAAAACTTTATGAAACCACTCTAGAAAACTTTGACAACGGCAAAAACCATGTCAAACGCTATAGATAGAGGGGAGTCATCATCATCATCATTACCCCAGCGCCGCGAAGGCTCCCACCTACGGTGGGGTAAGGGGAGTCGGATGTATGCAGTCTTACCCCTGCACTAGAGCACACACTGTTTAATGATGACCCATAGTGAAAATCGCGTCAAAAATTGCATGGACTGACTACTGCTTCATAACAAAGAAACGCAGACAGTTTAGTGACCCATTTTGCTTTATACCATCGTATTCCCAAGCCAAAAAATAGCGAGTCTTTGACTCCATTGCAAATGAAGGAAAGTATAGATAGAGAGGGGAGTGCTTTATTAAAAAATCATGATCTCCAAAGATTCTAAGGGGCACATAACCAGGCTTCCGAATAAATTTTATCAACAACATTTGTCTGCCGAATAGTTCATAAGGGAAATGATAATGACCTGGTAAAGAACAACTATGGTAGGCTTTGAGCAACCATATAAGAATTTGATATCCAAAACTTGAAGCTCCTCTAGCCTTAAAATGAAAAGCCATGAAAGATTAACTGTCAGGAAAAAAACTTGTAGAGCCTGCATGCAACAAATGAACTCTAGAGTCTAGAATGATCATAAACTTTTATCTTGAATCTTATGATTGAGATTCAGCCTCAAGGATGGGTACTTGTTGTGGTAATTATTGAAACCACATCCATCTCAACAACAACATCCAAGCCTTAGTCCCAAAGATTTTGGGATCGGCTAACATGAATCGATAAATGATAACGGAGCCAAAAAGAAAGAAAGATAAGAAAGATAAGGTTATATAAAAAGGATAAGATACAAATAAAGATAAATGTAAGATAAAGGTAAAAATGACAGATAAAAAGAATTATATAAAATAAAAAGGGTAAAAGGATAAAGAACATAAGAAAGATAAAGAAGATAAAAAGATAAAATAAAAAAGAGAGAAATGAGACCAATCCTCTACACGAATGAAAAGTATTTGGGAAAATAATTATACGATATATCAACTTTGACCCATCAATGAATAATAATACATAGTACATACTATAGAAATAACAATTTCATACCCTCACTATTAAAACATATTTGGTCACTTTACGACAACAAATCTGGTCACTTGACCCATAAAAATTTAGCAAATCATTAAATAAGATTTTTATTTGATAATCTGGTGCTGGGTTTTGATGGTTTGACCAACTGTATTTTTAGTCGGAAAATGGATCCATATCATTTTCATCATATATTTAGATAGTTGGGGTATGAAATTGTTATTTCCACATTCGAGAATTAGCATTATTTAAAGTTATTTTTCTTAAAAATTTGGTAGTAAACGTTGCACTAGTTTTTTGTATGCCTTTACTTGTTGAGACTTTATATGTCTTCCAAATTCAACCTCAAGAGGCTCAAGGCTTCCCTTTAGACCTTCTTTTTAACTTTCCTTCTATTTAATCTTTAACATTCCATTGCGAGTTTACTGTCAAGTGTCAAGACCTCAAGTCTTTTTCTTTTAAAACAAATTAATATTTTGGATTCTCATATTACCTAAAATTATTGAATGCCCACCTATTGGTGGAACTTTTTCCATGCATTGAGCATCAATATGTATTAATTCATTCATGTAACAGTGCATCATATAGTAGTAATAGAACATAGTAGTCAACTGGTTGAGCTAGAAGAATCTTAATATTTACTATATTTCACGTCACTCTTTCAAGAAAAAATCAATGAATTTTTTCAACCATTTGGAAACTTTAATATCAAAGATATGTGATATCATCCTTTCTGGTGTGTCACGAAAATAAACAACTACAACCAGCTCAGAAATGTCCACCTACTTGATTCAGGAGCAAGAAATTGCTAATTGATGAAGGTAATCTAGTGATATGCTAATGAATGGACAGGGTGAGACTTGAGAGAGGGTGGGTACCTTATGTTAAAAGCTTCCTTCATCTGGCCTTTGTTATCAAATGGTATCACCTGGTATGCAAATATAGAAGTATAGAACCATCCGGTCATATATAGGACAAGAATAAAAACATAATACATAAACAAAATTTCAATTATATCAAGGAAGGATACCTTGAATAATCCATCATATAGATGAAGTCCAATCAATCTGCAATCTGGATCAATTATGCCAATCTAGCAACAATAAACTCATACAAATTTAAATACCATCCAGCACCAACTAACTACGTACCATGGAATGAGAGTAATCTTCTATGCAAAAGTCCATTACCCCCCACCCTCACCAAGTAACATACAAGTATACTGCTGCTTATTATTACAAACCGGTAAGGGTCTGCATCCGTTGAAATTTTCAGGCTTAAAATAAAATAAATAGAGAGAAAATCGACACTAAATACAGATTTGTTACTACAGCAATAACAACATCCAAGCCTTAGTCCCAAAAATGTTTGGGTTTGGCTAACATGAATTGATATATGAAATCGGAGCTAAAAAAGATATAAAAAGGGTAACAAGATAATAAGATAAGATAGAAATGTAAGAAGATAATAAGATAAGGTTAAAAAAAGATACTCCCTCCGTCCCTAATAACTTTGCCAAGTTTGACCGGCACAGGAAATAATAAAGTAAAAACTGTGTGGTTGAGATTTGTGCAGAGGAGAGAGAATGAACTGGAACCACAAATTCTTTACTTAAAAGGGAAAGTAGCAAAGTTAGTGGGACATCCAAAAAAGGAAAGTTGGCAAAGTTATAAAGGACGGAGGGAGTAATACAGAGTATAAGATAAAGCCATAAAGGTAAGATAAAGATAAAAAAAGATAAGATAAAAAGATAAATACAAATTTGTTACTGCGGAAATAATTTCCTAAAACCTTATAGAATACCTGTCCATTATCAGTGGGACGGCCAATTCGGTCAGAGACATCTCCCATTGCCCTATAGTCAAATCCAGCAAAAACACCATTAAACATTTTTTGTGAAGAGAAAAAGATAAACAATTCGAACCACATGGATAATTCGTGATGGTTATTATACGGCAGAAAAAGCAGTCAAACATGTCAATACTCAATTGAACATCATACTGCAACCACTTTGAATTAATTTGCACAAGCAGGATCTCATCAATGATCAATATACTTTCCTAGTAATCCCGTAGAAGATTGGGATTCATTAACTACTTTAAAATTACTAGCCCAGCATCATGCAGCCTGCCACTTAGATTAGCATAGGAAGCAGAAAGTTTAAAAAAAAAAATTGCAATTGTGTGTCAATTTATGGGGAGAGTTTGGAAATGAAGACTTGAAAGCAAACCTTGTAATAAGCTCTGATGTCTCTGCATCCCATTGAAGAACACAGAACTTGTACCTTTCAGTTGCAATGAAAAGCAAATCTTGTGCTTCACCCTGCACATGCCCCATATGGAGTATATCAATAACCAACGTGAAGCTATCACAGGTTTTGCACCACATAGGTTGCATTTTTTTTAAATGCATACACTGGTTTCAACACTTTTACTCACGTGTGGGCGGAAAAGCTCAAGTGTGGCGATTCTTCCATATATTGGCACATCCAACATTGGCTGCAGATGCAAACTTAATGAACTCAAAATCTACTTAATTTCAGAACAATATGAATATGAACTATATTGTAGGGGAGAGAAGAATAAAGTCACTGCAAGGTATGCAGAAAATGAAGGATGAACCTTCATTATAATTGTTAAAATGAACTACTAGAATGTCTCAATGATACTTTGTAGATTGTAACAGGAGAAAAGCTATAGCACCTGTAAACCTTGAGAAGTGAGTAAATGGATCTCGATACGAGTGCATTTCCTGATGGCAAATTGCATCAGATCAGTAACTAAAAATCAAATATCACATGTAAAAATGTTCGAGTCTTCAACAATAAGTATTCAGATACATTGCAGTTCAGCTGAGCCTGCCCACTCAACGGGCAGAATAGCATACATTTTCTTAACTCCATGGGATATAAGGATATTTATAAGCAGAATACTGAATAGTCAGTTTGAAATTAGACTCCAGGCTTGTATTATCACAATCCATGCAAAGGAGCACACAATTAAGCATTCCCATGCATAGCCAGAGCTCTGGAGAACCATGAATTGGTTTGCATGTCCAAGAATATTTCATGCCTACGTTCTTTAGTTCAGCCAACATTTTGATCATATCATCCAGCATGTTGCTTACATCTGCTCCTAGTTTTTAGCCATTTTCCTTATGGGTTACCATTCAGAATAAGGCTTTTATTTTAAAAGGGTTACAAAGACAACAAGGACTGCTATTTCAAATGGGGTCATATTTGACAGATGATTGTAATTTACAAGAAAAATGTCTGCATTTTCTATGTATTTAAGCCTTTTAGGTATTAAATACAATTGAACAAGGATCTGCATATGGTGTTCCTTGACTTAGAAAAGGCGTATGGCAGATTCCGTGAAAATTCCTTTAGTGGGCTTAAAACTAGAAAAGGCATGTCACGTAAGTACATCAACATCATCATGGATATGTATGAGGATTGTACTACAAATGTTCGTACTAGTGTAGGGAGGGTCGCAAAGTTCCCTATTACTATCGGAGTGCACCAAGGGTTGGCTCTGAATTCTTTCTTATTTAGTAGTCATGTATGAGCTCACAAAGTCAACTCAAGTGGGGTGCATGATGTTTGTCAACGATATTGTGTTGATTGATGGGACAAAATGATAGGAATCTGGCTTAGTAGGCTAATAATAAGAAATAATAATAATAGTAAGTGTACTTGTAGAGTAGTATAAATAGAAGGGGAAGGGAGGAAATAGGTAGGCAAGTATTCAGTTGGATTTGGCTAGGCTAGGAGACTGGGCATCTCGAATTGTCCTATGCATTGTATACGTTCTGTACTCTTCTTCTACATCAATAAACTTCCTATTGATCTTGTTTCTTGATAATTGCTTGTGATTTCATTGTGTTCTAATCGGAATTACCAGTGATCTAACATTGGTATCAGAGCACTCGCTTCCTGGAGACAGAGGATCTGAATCGATCGAGAATATTAACTACCTGGAGCCATGGAAGAATTCTATACACCAAGAATGGAGAAGAACCTTACCGACATGAAAACTGTGGCGGAAAACCTGGCCAGACAGCTAGTTGCTATGGAAGAACATTACAGGCGAGAAGGAGATCGCGAGTGGGTTCTACAGGGTCGAATGTGTCTTCACCAGTCGCTCCTAATCGTTCCAGCTCTCCGTCGCAACTTGTTCCTCATAGATCGTCATCGCAAGTCGGCTACCTCGTCAGTTCGCAGAAATCTTCGCAGTCGCGAACTTCCTCTCTCAGTTCGCAACCGCGAACTTCATCATCAGCCAGCAGTTCACGACCAAGTCCGACGCGATCGAGAGGAGAAGCTTTCTGTTCGCAGATGTCATCGCAAACGGCTTCAGTTTCATCGCGAACAGTAATTTCCAGTTCGCAGGGATCATCGCTAGGCGCACAATCCGCATCGCACTTTGCATCGCAGACATGTGAGAGATTCCGTTACTCCAGAAGGTTCAGAAGGTAAATATGATTACTTACCTTCGCATCAGGAACGCAATCACTACAGAGGCCATCCAAGTTATAATAGAACAAGGAGGGAGATGGAATTACCCTTTTTCAATGGTGGTGACGCTTATGGATGGATGGAATTACCCTTTTTCAATGGTGGTGACGCTTATGGATGGATGGATAGGATGGAATGATATTTCACTCTCAATACTACTACAGAAAAAGATAAGGTTGAAGTCGCAGCAGAAGCTATGGAGGATAGGGCATTTGACACTTTGACTGGTTTCAATGGTGGGAGACTCAGACGAGAGAGAAGAGTTGGGAGGTTCTGAAGGAAGCCATAATGCGGCGTTTCCAACCTACACACAGTCGGAAGACACAGAAGTCTTCACCTACAACGTCTTCCAGTTCTCGCTCGAGAGAAAACCCTTCCACTTCTCTGGTTTCGTCTAGAACTGTTTTTCATCAGCAATCGTCATCGCAAGCCATTTCTCTCAGTCGTCCGCAGGTGTCCTCGCAGTCAGCATCATTTGTCGTTTCTCCTACTTCAAAGGCACTTTCATATGCGAGTTATTCACAGCAGAATGTAAAGCAATCAAGAGAGGAATACTCATGTTCGCAAGTGCTATCGCCAGCTGTTTCTCAACCTGCACAAGACTATCCCCAGTTGACAAAGAATACCTAGTTGAAGTCCGCTGATCATGTAATCAAGAAACTGACGGAAGACAAAAACGAGGAGCAATCTACAGTAGCTGGAGGACCTGAAGCTGGTACAGTTGCTGAATTCCTCAATCGTTCACAGGTATCATCTATTTCAGGAGTCATAAATTTAGTTGAATCAAGAATGGGATTGCAGGGCACTCCATTGTTGGCAAAGAACATTGAGTTGTAGTTGGCTGCATCTTCAGGTTTGGAACTGGATACGAATTGTGGTATTAAGCAATCCATGGGACATGCACAAGAATATCTGGAAGGTATGGATAATGTGGATTCAGATTCTAACTCATCTCCAAAAGATGCTTTGATGGAAGGAATAATTCTTACTAGTGGACTAGAAAACTGGACACACCAACAAAAGAAGATAGATGACAGTGGAAGGTGTAATCTTGAGGTTTCACCTAGTGAGAACAGTTTATATGCAATTGCAGCAAGCACTGAGAATTTTCCAGACTTTAAATTCTTACCTCTTCATGTTGATATTGCAATTAGAAATTCCGTTTTAAGGACTGCAACTAATCAGGTGCAAGTGAGTATAATTGGGACTGTTGTATGCAACGATAAGTGTGGTTCATCTGTTGCTTTTGCTATTGTACTTCGGGATGGAAAAAGTCCAAGTACACTTATTTCACCTACCAACTCGTGGGTTGGCACTTTGACAGGAGGACATGACCTGAACTTTCATAAATCAGCTGAAGCTACTACAAGGGCAGCTGGATTTTATATTGCAGAACCTTTATATGATGATATTGATTACAATGAAGAGGCTTCAAGGTTTGGTTATTATGTAAAACATGTAGGACCTCATTCAATTTCCTGTCAGAAGCTTGGTCAAAGTGGAGATGGGGATAGGAACACTGAAGAAAGGGGTGAAAGAAGTATTATCTTTGACAACATAATTCCAGGGAGTTTTCATCTCCAGTTTCTGCTCCTGTTTGACAACATACGTTCTGTATTCTTCTACATCAATAAACTTCCTATTGATCTTGTTTCTTGATAATTGCTTGTGATTTCATTGTGTTCTGAGTCGGAATTACCAGTGATCTAACACAAAATCATGTGTTAAAGCGAAGTTGAATGTGCGGAGAATTGAGAGGTAGGGAGAAGAGATGGGGAGGAGAGGAAGAGAACAACCCACATAGGCGTGAATTAGAAGTTAGAACGGTCAACAATGATATAGTACTTCTTGAGTTAGGTGAGAGTATGAATCTGGATAAAGCAAAGTGGAGGGAGAATATACTTACGGAGGATTGATCTCTTTTTTATCTTTTTTAACTTCGACTTTATGTCGATTCATATTAGTCGACCCCAAACTCTTTCGGGGTTAGACTTGAATGTTGTTGTAGGTATTAAATACAACCGAAATGAACAAATAAGACTATGTGCACTCACACAGGCCACAGGCCATATGATCATGCATAGGGGATGAAACGTATTATGTCCCATGATGTGCATGGTGATTGAGTTTACAATATTAAACCTAAGGGACATGATTGTAGCAACTAATCAACTCATATTTTGCTTCATGATACTGTAAAAGTGGAAAATGTCTATGATGATGATTACAACTTTAGACTTTAGAGTATCATCTCATTGTTCGTTGATATGAAGGTTAAGGTATAAAAGCATACAGCATAAAACTTTGTCCCTATATTTTCTTTCAGAACTTGAAGTGTAGATTTTTCCATCATTTGCAATGGAGCCAAAGATTCATTATTTTTTGGCTTGAGATTATGATGGAATAAAGCAAAATGGCTCACTAAACTGTCTGCGCTTCTTTGTTATGGAGCAGCAATCAGTCCATGCAATCTTGGACGCGATTTTCACTATGGGTCATCCGGAAACAGTCACTCTGTGCTTTAGTACAGGGGTAAGACTGCGTACATCCGACCCCCCCTTACCCCACCGTAGGTGGGAGCCTTTGCGGCACTGGGGTAAATGAAAATGATGAAAATGATGGAACTTGAAGTGTAGATTATTTTAGACAATCAATTGACACTGACTCATACCGCCAAGCTCAATAGTCAATACAATTAGGATTAAGGCAATGGTGATGTTGGTGTTTCATTCATTGACATATGCCTTCTTTTGTATATCGCTAATGAACCGTTTCTTGTCTAGTTTGACTTGTTGACCAACAAAAAAGGGTGTTAGGTACATGAGTTTTTGAATCAGCTTCAAAAGCCAAAAATGGCTGAATGAAAAGCTATAAATAACAACCCTTTCCTGTTACCGTTTAGGCACTAAGTTTGTATTAAGAAATTCTCCATACCTCATGTTGCTTTTTTCTTCTCCGTTTAGCCAACTTTTTGGACTAATGAATTGTTGTTTTTTTGTTTCTTTTAATTTTTGTTAGATAATTATTAAAACAAATAAACATGATTAAATCTTGGACAATGAATGTCAAACATTACAATTTACATGAAATAGTATTCTAGAATGCGACTAACAAATAATATAACTAATAACTTATAATATTGGGCAATCAATAATTGTTGTTTATTACGTTATTTTGTTAAATATAAATATAAATATAAATATAGGAAACTGTTATGATAAAACTAATTATATCT